AAAATCTGAAAAACTGAGAAATCGGAAAATTAAAAAACAAGAAATAATAAATCGGGAAATTGAGAATTGAAACAACGAAAAACTGAAAAATGGGAAAATTAAAAATCGAAAACCGAAAAATATCAAAATTGAGACCTCGATAAGGTTTAAAAAACAAGAAATTAAATTATCTATACATTGAAAAATATAAAATCGAGAAACTGAGGAAACGAAAAACAGAAAAATCCAAAAATTGTAAAGGAAAAACCGAAAATGGAGTAATTAGAAAATCGAAAAATAGAAAAATTCCAACATTGTACGGTCATAAAATCAAAAAATTTAAAGATTCAAAAACGCTAGAACATCGAACAACTGAAGAATTAAAAATCTAATTGAAAAAAAACACCGAATGTGAAATTTTGCAAAAGTTAAAAAAACGAAAAATTGTAAAATAAAACCGAAAATCTAAAAAAATTGAAAAATCAAGTATGCAATTCAAACATCGGAGAAAACCAAGAATCGAAAATTTAAATCGAGAAATAGAAAAATAAAAAATCAAAAGCTTGAAAAATGTAGGTAATGGATGAAAAATTCAAACTGCGAAATCATTGAAAAAATAAAAAATTATTAAAAAATTGGAGAATGATGAAATCGAAAGCTTGAAATTTCGGAAAATTAAAAGACAACGAGTATGATTGAAATAACGAAAATTCGCAAAATTTTAAAATAAAAAAATCGAAACATTGTGAAATCGTAAAGTTGAAAAATTCAATAGTCAAAAATTTCAAATTTTAAAAGTTATAAGATCGAAAAATTGAAAAACCCAAAAATCAAGGAAGAAAAAATCGCAAAACCAAATTACCGAAAAACTGAAGAATTGTAAAATCGAAAAATTGCTAAATAAAAATCGAAAATTGAAAGTTCGAAAAATGGAGTAATTGAAAATTCTGAAAAACTGAGAAATCGAAAAATTGAAAAACAAGAAATAAAAAATTGGAACATGGGAAAATTAAAAATCGAGAACCGAAAAATAGCAAAATTGAAACCCCGACAAAGTTTAAAAAACAAGAAATTTAATTATCTAAATATTGAAAAATATAAAATCGAAAAACTCAGGAAACCAAAAACGGAAAAATCAAAAAACAGTAAAAAAAACGAAAAACAAAAAAATTGAAAAATGGAGTAATTAGAAAATCAAAAAATTGAAAAATTCCAACATTGTAAAGTCGAAAAAGGGAATAACTAAAATATCGGTAAAATTCAGAAACAAAAATTTACGAATTGAAAAATTTTAAACTGAAAACTGAAAAAAATTGCAAATCGAAAAATTAAAAACTGGGAAACTAAAAAATCGAAAGAATGAAAATTGAAAAATTAAAAAATATAATTGAAAAATTGAAGAATTGCGAAATCATTACATGAAAAAATAATAAAATAAAACACCGAAATGTGAAATTTTCCAAAAGTTAAAAAATAGAAAAAGTGTAAAATAAAACCGAAAATTTAAAAAAAATTAAAAATCAAGTATGCAATTCAAAAATCAGAGAAAACCAAGAACTCGAAAATTTAAAAATCGAGGAATGGAAAAATAAAAAAATCAAAACCTTAAAAAATATAGGTAATGAATAAAAATTCAAAAATTGCGAAATCATGAAATTGAAAAAATTAAAAACTGAATTCAAAAAATTCACAAGTTAAAAGATCGAATAACAGACCATACGAAAAATCAAAAAACAAAATTATTGAAAAATTGGAAGATCGAAAAATGAAATATCCTAAAATAAAAAATTGAAAAAGGGAATAATTGAAACACCCAAAGTTGGCAAAATTTCAAAATTGAAAAATTAAAAAATCTGAAAAATGAAGTCATTGAAACATTGTAAAAATTGAGAAATAGGAAAATTAAAAATCGAGAAATTGACAAATAGAAAAATTGAAAAATCTAAAAATTGTGAAATTGAAAAATCGAAAAGTTAAAAAATTGCAAAAAAAACGAAAAGTTGTGAAAACGTACAAACTAAAAAATTAAAAATTGTTCAATCAAAAAATTAAACACCGAAAAATTAGTAAACTAGGAATTGAAAAAAAAAAACTGAAACATCTAAAAACTGAAAAATGGACAAATTAAAAAATCTAATTGAAAAATTGAAGAATTACGAAATCATAAAATTGAAAAAATTATAAAATAAAACACCGAAATGTGAAATTTTTCAAAAGTTAAAAAATAGAAAAAGTGTAAAATACAACCGAAAATCTAAAAAAATTGAAAAATCAAGTCTGTAATTCAAACATCGGAGAAAATCAAGAACTCGAAAATTTAAAAATCGAGAAATGGGAAAATAAAAAAATCAAAAACTTGAAATGTCCAAAGTTTGCAAAATTCCAAAATTCAAAAATCGAAAAATTAAAAATCTGAAAATTGAATAATTAAAATATTTCATTGAAAGATCGAAATATTGAGAAATCGTAAATTAAAAAAATTGGAATATTCAACAGTCAAAAGTTTGAAATAAACTTGAAATTTTCAAAACTTAAAAAATTGAAAAGTTGGAAAACCGAAACATCAAGGACGGAAAATCACACAATTGCGAAAACAATAAATTAAATTATCGAAAAATTGGAAAATAAGAACTGAAAAACTAAAAAATTGAAAAATGAAGTAATTGAAGCATTGTAAAAATTGAGAAATTGGAAAATTACAAATCGAGAAATTGACAAATCGAAAAATTGTAAACTTGAAAAATCAAAAAATTAAAAAATTGCAAAAAATCGAAAACTTGAAAACCGAAAAATTGTGAAAACGTACAAAATAAAAAATAAAAAATTGAAACATTTACCAATTTAAAAACTGAAAAAACGAAAATCGAAAAATTGAAAAATCTAAGAATTGTTCATTCAAAATATTGTAACACCGAAACATTAAATAACCGAAAAATTAGTCAACTAGAAATTGAATAAAAAAAACTAAAAATCGAAAAACTGTATGTAACACTGAAACATATAAAACTGAAAAATTGAAAAATTAAAAAATCTAATTGAAAAATTGACGAATTGCGAAATCATAAAATTGAAAAATTGAAGAATTGCGAAATCATAAAATTGAAATTGAATTAAAATCGAAAAATTCAAAAGTTAAAAAATCGATAAAACAGACAAAACGAAATACCCCCCCCCCCTTAAAAAGAACAAAAAATTATTATAAAATTGAAAAATAATGAAATCGAAAAATTGAAATTTTGGAAAATTAAAAAAAGGGAATAATTGAAATATTCAAAGTTCCCAAAACTTTAAAATTCAAAAATCCAAAAATTAAAAAGCGAACCGTTAAGTTAAAAAAGTTCAATAGTCAAAAAATTTGAAATTTTCTGAAGTTAAAAGATCGAAAAATTAAAAAACCCAAAAATCAAGAAACAAAAAATCGCAAAATTAAACTACCGAAAAATTGAAGAATTGTAAAATCGAAAAATTGCAAAATAAAAATCGAAAATTGAAAGTTCGAAAAATTGAATAATTGAAAAATCTGAAAAACTGAGAAAACGAAAAACTGAAAAACGAGAAATGAAAAATCGGAAAATTAAAAATCGAGAACGGAAAAATAGCAAAATTGAAACTTCGACAAGGTTTAAGAAACAAGAAATTAAATTATCTAAATATTGAAAAATATAAAATCGAAAAACTCAGGAAACCAAAAACGGAAAAATCGAAAAATAGTAAAAAAAAAACGAAAAACAAAAAAAATTGAAAAATGGAGTAATTCGAAAATCAAAAAATTGAAAAATTCCAACATTGTAAAGTCGAAAAAGGGAATAACTAAAATATCGGTAAAATTGAGATATAAAAAATTTACAAATAGAAAAATAAATTTTAAACTGGAAAACTAAAAAATCGAAAAATTTCAAAATTCAAATTCTGAAAAGTTTAAAACATAAAACATTGCGCATCAAGAAATTGAAGAATCAAAAAACTGAAAGATCAAAACGGAGAATTAAATACCGAGAAGTGAAAAAAGTAACAAATTGAAAATTCAAACAAAGCAAAATAAAAACGAAAAAACTAAGCAACGAGAAATTAAAAAATCGATAAAACAATAAATTTAAAAATTGAAAAATCGAAAGAAACTATCTTTTGCCCGCTTCAATGTAACAACCGCCTTAAGCGACTAAAACCTGTGTAATCCTCGTTTCTAATGTTGGCTTTTAATTTTTCACTAATTTTATTGTTAAATTGTAAAGGAGCAGTTTTAGCGAGTGTAGCGTTCTTTATGTGGATATTTATGGGGGATTGCTTTCTTCCATCTAAACAATCTTTGGCAGGCCATTTCCCTAAAATTGGTATTACATCTATGTTATTCAAAAGTTCCTAAACACTCGACTAAATTTATCTTACTCTGTTCTAAGTAATTCCAGTCAGCCACCGCTTTATTCGCTACAAAAATGCCTAAAAGCAATTTTACAAATAAATAAATAAATAAATAAATAAATAATAATAAAGTTAATAGTACTTACAGACGAAAAATAAAATACAGAAGTTGGTCATTTCCGCATTCGTTAGGGCGTGAAGTAGGGCAAAAGACACATATAAAATGTTTTAAAAGTTCTTTTATACTAAAGGCTGCACATGAATATGTTAAGTAAGTACATAAATTTTCATGTGGCAATAGATAATATTATGTATTTCTGTCACCAAAAATAGTTTATTGCAAACATCCATACTAATTAATGGTACTTTCGCAAAAAAAGCTATGACAATAACAAAAAAACAAAAATAATTTGCGTTTCCACTGCTTATCAAAAAACTAATGGTCGCATAAAGAAATGGAAAAGTCCAAATTATATAGAATTTCCTAGCTATTGAAGTCATTAACTTGTTGATGGCGATGAATATACAAACGCTGATAGCGATAACACAAACACAACATAATAATTAAAATAATAAAACAAACCTGTCAAAAACAAAAATTGTAAGAACTTTTAGTGATTTCAAGTTTGCAGTTGGTAGTGTTAATGTTGGCAGAACTAGCCGTCACCTGTCAAACCCGTCAATCGACTTATCTAACCTCACCACTTTATTTTCGTTTAAAACCGGCGCCTTGTTAGTGATTATTGATTAATAACCCCCAAAATGGACGAAAACCCCCAAAAAGGCCCCATTTGTTTGATCGTTTTAGGCATGGCAGGCTCCGGCAAAACTTCCCTCGTCACCCGATTAACGAACTCCCCGAAGAAGCCCTACGTTATAAATCTGGACCCCGCATGCATCCAGTTACCGTATTTCGCCAACATTGGTAACCCACCCTCGACAGCCCCAATTCACTTTTCACGTTTTTCAAATTCCAGACATCAGAGACACCGTCAACTACAAAGAAGTCATGAAACAATATAAACTGGGCCCGAATGGGGCCATCGTGACCTCGCTTAACCTATTCTCGACGAAGTTCTCCGAAGTCATCGGGTTTGTGGAAAAGTCACCCAACGAACTGTGCATTTTGGACACCCCAGGACAGATTGAGGTGTTCACTTGGTCAGTTTCCGGTTCTATTATCACGGAAACTTTGGCTTCGAGTTTACCCACTGCTATTTTGTACGTTGTGGACTGCGTCCGCAGCACCTCGCCGGTGACTTTCATGTCCAACATGCTCTACGCGTGTTCGATTTTATACAAAACTCGGCTACCGTTTATTATTGTTATGAACAAAGTGGATATAGTTGATCATTCGTACGCTGTCGACTGGATGAATGACTTTGAGTCGTTCCAACAGGCTTTGGAAGCCGATGAGAGCTACATTAGCAACTTGACTCGCTCCATGGCGCTGACTCTCGATGAGTTCTACCGAAATTTGAAAGTTTGTGGGGTGAGCGCAGCCACGGGACAGGGGGTTGAGGACTTGTATAAATTAATAGAGGAGGCGCGGGTGTCATACGAACAGTGAGTTTCAAACTACGCTTTTTTTACTATTAATAAGTTTTGTGGTTAAAGGGAGTACCGAAGCGAATGGGAAAAAATTAAGACGAAGATTGAGGTTCAAAAAAACGAAAAAGCGGAAATTTCTGGTGGTCAGTGTTTTACTTTGTCGGCTGGTGCGGAACTCTCAGATGTGTTTCTGAGGCGTCCGGGGAATGTGAGTAGTTCAGACTCGGAAGGGGAGGAGGTTCCATTTCAAAGTATTGTGGTCGTTTTGGGAGTTTTTGTATTTATTTTTGTTTTGTAGTTGCCGAAGAAGATGTAGAAGCTAACACTTTTAAGAGGGTTGTAAGGCAACAAAGAGAGATGCAAATAAAGAGGGCGAAGGAAGCGGAGAGTAAAAAGAAGGCGGCGGAAACCACGTAGTGTGTGATTGTTTTGTATTAACTTTTAAGAATAAAGTGCGGTTATTTTTCTATTACAAATTTTTTAACTGAAAAATAATACACTTTTGAAAAAAACAAAAAGCCTAATTGTTGTAAAAGTTGAGACATTGTAAAATCGAAAAACTGAAGAAGCCAAAAATTGAAAAATGGAAAAATAAAAATCGAAAAATAAAAAAATTAAAATCGAGGAAACGAAAAATTGGAAAAACAGAAAATTAAATTACTCAAAATTGAAAAAATTGAGGGAAAATATAGACAAATCGAAAAAATAAAAATCTAGAAATTGAAAAATCGAAAAAGAGACACTCAAACACTGAAAAACGGAAAGATTAAAGATTTCTTGATTTTCAATTTTTTTGTTGGAGTTTTCAATATCTTCATTGAAAAATCCAAATGAAAAATATAAAATTTGCGAAATCGTAAAAAAAATGAATAATTAAAAACTTGTTAAAAATGTCGAAAAATCGAAAAACTGCAAAATACCTATCGAAAAGAACGAAAAATATAAGAAAAGGACGAATAGTTGCCGAAAAAATTAAGAATACAAAAAAATGATAATCAAGAAATTCAAAAATCGCAAAACGAAACGGGAAAAAATTGATAAATAAAAAATCGAAAACATGAAAAAATCCAAAAATTGCGAAAACGTAATAATGAAAAAAAAACAACTCAAAATTGTAAACCTTGAAACATTGGAAGATGCGAAAAATTTAAAAATCAACAAATCTAATTGAAAAATTGAAAAATGGTGAAATCGTAAAATTGAAAAATTCAGAAGTGAAAAAATTGAAAAATAGAAAAAACAAGAAACATAAGTGATCTAAAACTGCAACATTGAAACATAGGAAACCTGAAACATTGAAAAATTAAAAATACTAAATAAAAATGTAAAATTGAAAAAAATTAAAAATTGAAAAATCGAAAAACTAAAGAAACGAAACAAAAAAAATTGAAAAATAGAAAAAACACGAAAAATAAGTTATCTACAACTACAACATTGAAACATCGAAAAACTGAAACACTCAAAAATTAAGTCTAGATAAAAATGAAAAATTCCAAAATTGAAAAGTTAAAATATTAAAATTGAAGAACAGAAGAACTAAACATGGAATCGAAAAAACAAAAGACCTAATTGTTGTAAAAATTGAGAAATTGTAAAATTGAAAAACTGAAGAAGCTAAAAATTGAAAAAAATTTAAAATCGGGCAAATGAAAAATTGAAAAAACAGAAAAATAAATTACTAAAAATTGAAAAACTTGAGGGAAAAAAGGAAACCTAATCGAAATATACACAAATCGAAAAATTAAAAATCTAGAAACTGAAAAATCGAAAAACAGACATTGAAACACTGAAAAAAAAAAGATTTTCAATAAAAAAAAACAACTCAAAAATGGAAAAACCGCAAAATTGTAAACATTGAAACATTGGAAAATCCGAAAAATTTAAAAATCAAAAAATCCAATTGAAAAATCGAGAAATTGTGAAATCGTAAAATTGAAAAATTCAGAAGTTAAAAAATCGACAAATTAAAAATACTAAATAAAAATGTAAAATTGAAAAAATTAAAACCTAAAAAATCGAAGTCAGAAAATTAAATAGTTAAAAAAATCGAAAAACTGCAGAGTAAAAAATTGAGAAATTTAAAAATAAAAAATGAATACCCGAAAAACCAAAAAATTAAAAATATACGAGTAAATATCTAATACTTGAAACATCGAAAAACTGAAATCGTAATTTTGAAACATGCAAATTAAAAAGCGAAAAATTAAAAAAAAACTGTTCACAATCGAACACGAAAAAACAAAAAGCTTAATTGCTCAACAATTGAGAAATTTTAAAATCGAAAAACTGAAGAAGCCAAAAATTGAAAAAAGGAAAGCGAAAAATTAAAAATCGTGAAATGGAAAAATAAAAATTGAAAAAAAATTAAAATTGAGGAAACGAAAAATTGGAAAAACAGAAAATTAAATTACTAAAAATAAAAATTGAAAAAATTGGGGGAAAAGGAAATAATTGAAATATAGACAAATTGAAAAATTACAAATATAGAAATTGTAAAATCGAAAAACTGAAAAAGCGACAAGTTATAAAAAAAACAGACACTGACACTGAAAACAGAAAGGTTAAAGACCTCTTGATTTTCAGTTTTTCAATTGGGAGTTTTCAATATCTTAATTGAAAAATTCAAACGAAAAATTTAAAACTTGCGAAATCGTAAAACTAAAAAAAAAAATAATAATTAAAAAGTTAACATTTGAAAATATCGAAAAATCGAAAAACTGCAAAATAACAATCTATAAGGACGAAAACATGAAAAATCCAAAAATTGTGAAAACGTAAAAACTGCAAAATTGTAAAGATTGAAACATCGCAAAATCCCAAAAATTTTAAAATCAAAAAATCTAATTGAAAAATAGAAAAAACAAGAAAAATAAATGCTCTAAAACTGCAACATTGAAACATAGAAAACGTGAAACATTGAAAAATTAAAAATACTAAATAAAAATGTAAAATTTAAAAAAATTAAAAAGTTAAAAAACTAAATAGTTAAAAAGATCGAAAAACTGGAGAGTAAAAAATTGATAAACTGAAATATAAAAAATCGAATACCCGAAAAATAAAAAAATTGAAAATTTAAATATCTAATATGTAATTGAAAAATTGAAAAACTGAAATCGTAATACTAAAACATGCAAATTAAAAAGCGAAAAATTAAAAAAACTGTTAACAATCGTACACATTTATAAAATTGTAGCCATTTCGAAAAATGTTTGAAATGAAAAACTGCAGAATAGAAAAATGAAATATCGAATTGAAAAAACAAAAAACGCAATTGCCCTAAAAATTGAGAAAGTGTAAAATCGAAAAACTGAACAAGCCAAAAATTGTAAAATCGGAAAGTTAAAAATCTTAAAAAGTGGAAAAAATCAAAGTAACGAAAAAATGAAAAGTTGAATCGATAAATAAAAAAAATTAAATCAGGGAACAAAAACAGAAAATTATATTACCAAAAATTGAAAACATTAAAAATACAAACACTGGAAAACTGAAAATTGAGTAATTAAAAATAAAAGGGAATCTAGAAAATGAAAAATCGAAAAACTGAAAAATTTTAAAATCGAAAAAGAGAAAAGTTATAAAATTGAGGGATTGAAAAATCCAAAAATTGCCACTGAAATACTGAAAAACGAAAACTTTAAAGATCTCTTGATCTTAATTTTTAATTTTTCTATTGGATGTTTCAATTTTTTAATTGAAAAATCTAAAATTTACGAAATTGTAAAACTAAAAAAAATGAATTTTTAAAAAGTTGAAAAATTTATAAGTTAAAAATATCGAAAAATTGAAAAACTGTAAAATAACAATCGAAAAGAACGAAAAATAGAAGAAATGAACGAATAATTGACGGAAAAACTAAGAAATCAAGAAATTCAAAAATCGCAAAATGAAAAGGGAAAAATTGATAAATAAAAAATCGAAAACATGAAAAATCCAATAATTGCGAGAACGTGAAAATGAAAAAAAAAACAGAAAAATCGAAAAACTGCAAAACTGTAAACAATTGAAACATTAGAAAATCCGGAAAATTAAAAAATTAAAAAATCTAATTGAAAAATTCAGATGTTAAAAAATTGAAAAATTAAAATATTGAAAAATATAAAAAACAAGAAAAATAAGTGAACTAAAACTGCAACATTGAAACATGGGGAAACCTGAAACATTGAAAAATTATAACTACTAAATAAAAATGTAAATAGAAAAAAATTAACAATTATAAAATCGAAAAACTGAAGAAACGAAAAATAAAAAATAGAAAAATAGAAAAAACACAAAAAATAAATTATCCAAAGCTACAACATTGAACCATCGAAAAACTGAAAAATCGAAAAACTGCAAAATAACAATCAAAAAGAACGAAAAATAAAAGAAAAGAACGAATAATAAATGGAAAAATTAAGAAATCAAAAAATTGATAATCAAGAAATTCCCAAAATGAAAAGGAAAAAACTGATAAATAAAAAATGGAAAACATGAAAAATCCAAAAATTGTGAAAACGTAAAAATGAAAAAAAAAGTAGAAAAATCGAAAAATAGAACTGAGAAATTGTGAAATCATAAACTTGAAAAATTCAGAAGTTGAAAAAAAATTAAAACATTGAAAAATAGAAAAAAACAGAAAAATTAGTAATCTTAAACTGCAACATTGAAACATGGGGAACCTGGGACATTGAAAAATTAACAATACTAAATAAAAATGTAAAATTGAAAAAAATTAAAAATAAAAAAATCGAAAAGTTAAAAACTACTTAAATAGTAAAAAAAAATCGACAAACAGCAGAGTAAAAATTGAGAAATTACAAAATAAAAAGTCGAAGACCCGAAAAACCAAAAAATTAAAAATATAAATATCTAATAATTGAAAAACCGAAAAACTGAAATCGTAATATTGAAACATGCTAATTAAAACGCGACAAATAAAAAAAAAACTGTTAACAATCGAACACATTTACAAAATTGTAGCCATATCGAAAAATTTTTGAAATGAACAACCGTAGAATAGAAAAATGAAATATCGAATTGAAAAAACAAAAAACATAATTGCTCTAAAAATTGAGAAAGTGTAAAATCGAAAAACTGAACAAGCCAAAAAAATGAAAAAAAGTAAATAATGAAATAAAAATCGAAAAACTGCAAAACTGTAAACAATTGAAACAATGGAAAATCCTAAAAATTTAAAAATAAAAAAATCTAATTGAAAAATTCAGAAGTTAAAAAATCGAAAAATTAAAATATTTAAAAATAGAAAAAACAAGAAAAATAAGTGAACTAAAACTGCAACATTGAAACATGGGGAAACCTGAAACATTGAAAAATTATAACTACTAAATAAAAATGTAAATAGAAAAAAAATGAAAAATAAAAAAATTGAAAAACTGAAGAAACGAAAAATAAAAAAATAGAAAAAACACGAAAAATAAATTATCTAAAGCTACAACATTGAAACACAGAAAAACTGAAAAATTGAAAAACGTAAAAT